TTTAAATATTATAATAGTTATTATATTTAAGCACTCTAGTATAACGACTTATTTTAGTATTACTTATTTTAGAATACGTTACGATAGTAGCGCGTAACTTACGATAAGAGCGAGTATCGGCGTCGCGCCTATAATAGGCGCTAGCTCTTTAAGGTTTTAATATTTAAAGTGTAAAATATATTTTCCTTAAAATTCTATACCCTACTATATTATTTAAATTATAGTTAGTAATTATTTATTAATTAATTATATATTAACTATTAATTTTTTAGCGGCTATTTTAGCCTATATCTAGTTCTCTAAATATAATTTCTTATATCACTAATACGATAATAGTCCCTTAGAGATTCTTTTTACTTCTCTTAACTAGCGTTAGATAGTAGGAACCCTAAGGAAATTAGTATACTTAATACTTAAAGATATAGAGACTTTCGATAGTATATACTAGCTAAGAACTTAGGAATAACTAAAAGCCTAATACGTCGGCCGAGAAAATAAACACTTTACCTAATTCTCGAATACGTATCCCTAAATAAATATCCGCGCTATATATCTCGCTATATTCTTACGACTTTTTCTCTAGATTCGCCTTACGTCGATCTCTCTTCTATCGAAGTGATTTTCTCTCTACCCTTAAAGTCTTTAATCGTACGCGGGACGTTATAGCTATTATAAAAGTAGGAATAAAAGACTCGAATAAGTTAGAGAGGGTGATAGGCTTAGTGCTATATATTTATAGACCGTAAATAATAATAGGTAAGTTTAGAATAGGAAAAGGAGGAAATACGCCTTTTAATCTCTAAAGGACTATAGTTTTCGCCTAAATAACTATAATTTTAGCTTTATAAACTATTCGGGGACGAGATAATATTTACCCTTTATAGTTAAGGGGTTTACGATAGTATCTAAGCTATATCTCTAAAAATATACTAGAAGGTAAGCTAAAGATACGAATAGGGGAAGTAAAGTAATAGAATAGTTAATAACTCCCGGTGTTACTTACCTAGAGTGAAGTAAGATAGCTAATTAGCTCTTAACTAAAGAGGTAATAAGCCTATAATATATTTTTCCTTTACCTAACGATTATTATTTAGCTATAAAATTTAGCTATTATAGTATCTAGACGGAAAGTGATTCCCTAGGTAATAGGAAATAGTATCGCGGTACGATTATAATAAACTTTAACTATAACTTACTAATTATATTAGAAATAGATATATTAGACTTCGCTTTTAGAGTAAGACTAATATAGAAGTAAGAAGATAGGAATATTCGACTAGTTACTTTCTAGTTAAAGAAGATAATCCTTATAAAGTTTAATTATAATATATATAATAAGGAGCTATTAGCTATAATATTAGTATTTTAGATCTAGAGAGTATATCTAAAAGGGATAAAGTATACTATAGTAGTATAAACTAATTATTAAAACCTTATATTCTTTACTATAATAAAGGTCCTTATATAATAATAAGTATAATAGGCTAAAACCCTTATCTAATATAATTTTAAGATTAAGTATTATAAAGATATAAAGAACGGCTAAATAGATACGTTTAATAGATAACTAGACTATAAGATTAGTACTAAAGCGGCTAAATCTACTATACTAAAGTAAAACTAAGATAGTACTATCTTATATAACTAGTAGATTCTAGCTACTATTATAGAAATATAGGATAACGATTTCCTATAACGCTATTAAGATAAAGTAGATAAAAATATTTAGTAAGCTACTAATAATAGTAATAATAAGATTACTAAAAACGAAACCGGACTATTCTATATATATAGATTAGTCTATATATCTATAATACTTTAGGATAAGATTATAAAATAATACTATAATAATCTTATATATAGATATATAGGGATAGAAAAAACTATAAAATATATCTCGCGAAATTACTACTTTCTAAATATATACTAAAAGGTCCGATCTTATATATAAAGATATAATATATATTAGAGAAATAAGCTAGTATAATATATACTATATAGAGAATTATAGCTATTAGAAACCCTATCTAAATTATAGGAATAGATTATAATAGATTTTATTATAAAGCTATTAATCTCTAAAGGATATAATATAATTATAGTTATAGTTAATAGGCTTACTAAATATATCTATATAATTCTAACTATTAAAACTATTAATACTAACTAGATAGCTAATATACTACTATAATATATAGTTACTAACTATAGGATACTAACTAAGATTATATCTAATTAAGATAAGCTATTTATATTAAAAATATAATAATCCTTTATAGATTAAATAGATATTAAGCTTAAACTCTCTATTATATACTATCTATAGACTAATAGTTAGATAGAGAGAGTAAATTAGATAGTAAAATAGTATTTATAATATTTTATAAACTACTAATAAGATAACTAGATAGGACTATTACCTATATATTACGCACTATAACCTAGTTATAGTTAGGGTTAGTAGATCACGGGTTATACTTACTAGGGATCTCTAATCTTCTAACGTTAACGATCTATCTCTTAACCGTACCGTTGCCAAATAGGCCTTACACGGGCTAGGTCCTTTTAAGGGTATCGAGGAACGATACTAGGTAGAGCGCTTAATTAATCTATACCG